TATCTAATCACAAAGTTAATTTTGGGGCTGGTGGCTTGGTTCAAGTGGTAGAGTGCCTGCCTAGCTAGCATGAGGCCCTGAGTTCAAGCCACCCTCCCCCCCACAAAAAAAGGGGTTACAAAGTTAATTTTGAAAAATAACTCTTAAAACTTAAACAGCAAAAATGTTATATTCAACATGAATCTAAATAGGCAAAGAAGACACAGCCAGGAATACAGAGGCTTTTGGCAAGTTAAAGTATTTCATATTTTGTACAATTTCGGGTCATTCCTGTATTTTATAGTGTAGCTCTAGGCATTAACTTGAAATGACCTTGACCCATGATAGCCTAAATTTAACATTCTTCAGAACAAAGTAGACTTTCTTTTCTGCTTTAAGAGAAAAATGAAGCAAATCCTAAGAATGGTACTATTTGAGTCTTGAGCCAAGAGGAACAGAGATAAAATCCTGTTTGATTTGTATAAACATTACAGAATCCAATGCTTGTTTCAACGTTCCCCTTTTCCTGACGATGTTCTCTCAATCCAACCCAGGGCTGTTGGGTTTTTTCCAGGGCGTGGGGTGGATGTGAGTAGGGCTGCCACGAACACAACATCTATTGAGGCTATGCCACATTCATCTCTCAAAATGCACTGTGGTGGAAATTCAGAGCACAGCAAGAGGAAATAAACTTTGATGTCACCAAAATGTAAGGTTATGTTTAAAGCCTGAGGTAAAGGATATAACAGCAACAATTTAAATTCATTATTTGTAATCTTATAGTTCCCTAAAGTTTAGAACACATTACTTTAAAAAGCTTCACTGAAGCAGCTTTTTAATACTTAACCAATATTTCAACACCTGAAAACCTTCGCAAGTGAAACTGGCTCTGTAGTCTTATACTCCAGAATAAACGAAACTCAATCCTTTTACTTTGCAGATTCTCTCAATTTTTCATTTGTTTTCATTAATTGAGGAATAATAAGGGATTTCCAGCTTTTCAGGAACCTAAAAAAAAAAAATCTAAGAATCAATTCCAACAGAACACTGCCAAAAATCTTTCAGAAAAGAATATTACAATGACTTATTGATACTTATCTGCCCCTACCACCTAAAGTACATTTAGACTTCAAAGCTAAACCTCAAATAGCATCATAGCGGACAGCATGTGACTTCATGTTTAGTGAGTCTTGTTTAGCTGAGGGTTTGCAGATGGAAAAGGACCATGACAACACACAGGTTTTTTTTGACTCCATCAGTCTCAGTGCCTTTCTTATTGTGTGGGGATATTGCAGCTGATGCTTTGAGGACTAAGGCAGAGGTCTGCAGTTTCAGCCTACTCACTATCCCTTTTCTAAATCTCCCTTAGAAAACCTCTCTGTTCTAGACCATGTGGAACCTATAGTAAACCCCTTCCCAGGGGATGGTAACCAGTTCTGAGCTTGGTCATCCAAAAAGTCTATTTTCCACTCCAGAGAGGGAAAATGGCTCAAATTGCCTCTGTAAGAACAGTTCTGGGACTTTAGCTGCAAATATTGACCCCCTGAAAGTACTCTTTTTCTTGCTAGGACTAAAGTGGTAGTTCCTTCTAAGTAGCAATCATATGGAAACCATTTGTCTGAAAATGCAGCCAAAACTAACAAAGAAATTCCAGTAACCTCAATTGCTAATCCAACCATGCCTTAAATAGCAAGACCTATCCTAAGCTTTTTGCATCAAGTAAATAAAATCCTTAAGCCAATTTGAATTGGTGATGTCACCTGCAGCTGAAAGAATCTTGACTCAAAAACGTGACAAGCTTAAAAGTAAACATGACTGCTTTGAGGATTTTCACATACTTCCTTATCAGTCTCCTTCAGTCCTCACAATCCAGGAACGCTCGTGTCTATTACCATTCAATTAATACTTGTTATTTGGATTCGTACTGCATAGGAAAGAGATGGGGAGTGAGGGGGTAAAGCATCTAAAATTTCACTTATGTGGGAGAAAAGTGGAGGGCAGGACCTCAATAGACGTTCATCAAATGAAAGAATAAACAGTGTAAGATAGAGCTGGGACATGATCCTCGCTAATGCCTGACAGATGCATTAAAAGGCTCTTGCAAGTAACCCAGGTTCCAGATGATAGACCCCAAACAGGCAATCTTATGAAAACGGTTCAAACAATAGGAGGTGGAGTCAGGTTAGATGTGGGGCGGGGGAGGGGGAGAGCTTAGCCTTTTCACAGTGGGTAGGTGCACTGGGAAAGCAAGGCTGGAAGAGAGACAAAGTATGGTAATCATGGATGCAGTATATACAAGCAAAGAGGCCCGGCAGGCCCTCAGCCTAGCAAGTGAGGTCCAGAGAAAGGCTGGCAAGAAGAATCGCTGGCACGGCCCAGTGGAGCCTCACCATGAAGAGAAGAGGAAGAAGCTGATGACCACCTCCGTACAAGCAATCTTAGTCCTGCCGGTGCGTCCATGAAAACAGGTTCCATTCCCCCTATCTGTTGTTTTGGTTGCAACATCCTCATGGTTGGCCCTCAGGCATCTGTAGAATGACTGACAACTTCCCTGGTGCCAGCGCACTACCAGTTCAAGGTTACTTCTACAAGCTTTTTTCCAGGCACCTTCCAGGGTTAGAGCTGCCACTGCACTGGATGCCTCAGCTCTCACCTCTTAAATTAGTTCATGCTCTCACTTTAGGTGTAATCACAGCTGGCAATGCTTTCTGGGGATGTCTCAAAAAGATAGGAGGTGCGCTGGGTGCTGGGGTGGGGCTTATGCTTGTAATCCAAGCTACTGGGGAGTCAGAAATCAGGAGCACAGGAGTAACAGGACCGCCCAGGCAAAAACCGGAGACCCCTAGCTGAAAAATAACCTAAGCAAAAAGGGCTGGAGGCGTGGCTCAAGTGGTAGGAATGCCTGCCAGTAAGCAAGCTGAGGCTCAGCTCAAACCCCAGTACTGACCCAAAAAAAAAGGGGAGGGGGAGGGCAGGAGTTTGGCAGGTAAAATTGTCTTCTTCGTCCACCCCTTTCCTTGCTCCTGGCCCACCTAGGGACCGCGACAGGCTTCAGAACGCGGTGGGGGTGGGGATGGAGGCGGAGATGGAGTTTCCTCTGACTACTCTTTAAATTGCTATCACTTAAGTCTCAGAGAAACAAAGGAGATGGGTAAGCGGACAGGCATGGCTGTCGGGGATTCTGAGGCCAGTACGGCCGCCGGATAAAGCGTACCCGCGGCGCCCCACACCCGGATGCTGCGGGAGGTGCTCTCAGCCCGTTCCCTGCATCCCTTCAGATGGCGAGGCTCCTGTCGGGCCTCCACTGGTTGCAAGTCTGCTATCCCTTGGTTAAGCACAGTAGCTTCAAGGTCGCCCGGAAGGACCAGAGCTCCTGGAGTCCCTTGGGCTGCTTGGGGTCAGCAGCGGACGCCTTTGCTTTGGATTTGATAGACAGGTATGTTGGTTCTCCAGCCGCGGACTGATTAACTATCCCTTCAAGTCTCCGCCTTCCCGCACCCAGGCTGGGACGCGCCCTTCATCTCCGCATCTCCCTGACACTCAGCAAAACTGTATTGTTACTTTCGGGTTTGTGTGGTGTGTGTGGTGTGTGTGTGTGTGTGTGTGTGTGTGTGTGTGTGTGTGTGTGTGTGTGTGTGTGTGTGTGTTAAGTCTACGAATGGGATGAAAATTCATTTCAGCTCAAAATTGCCCTCGAAAAACCGCCAATAAATCACAGGATTTGGTGTCTACTCTCCAGACAATGACAGGTACACGTGGATAAAACATGCAGAAAAGGTGCACAATACAGAAGAAATGTGGAGGCAGCCAGTGGCTCACGCCTGTAATTCTAGCTACTGAGGAGGCTGAGATCAGGAGGATCCCGGTTCCAGGCCAGCCCAGACAAAAAGTGAGACCCTATCTCGAAAACAAAAACCAAACCAAAACAAAAAACCAACACAAAAAAGGACTGGTGGTATGGCTTAAGTGGTAGAGCGTCTGCCTAACAAGCGTGAAGCCTTAAGTTCAAACCCTAGTACCTCCAAAAAAATAAATAAGGATGCAAACCATAAATTTTAATTGCCAACGAGAAAGACTTTAGATAAAGGAGACTGTGTGTGGATGTTCTGCCGGCCTAGTCCGGTTTTGCCAATCAACTCATCTTCGGTGCCCAGTGAAGTGCCGGGTACTTCATTCGGTTTCAAACATCTATCCTGAGTAAGTGAATGAATGAATGAATGAATGAATGCACGAACGCTCCACCAGACCTTCATAGCCCGCGGAGCAGGCGCTTCGAGAGGCGGACGAGAGCGGGAGGCCGAGCTCCATCCTCACGGCTAAGGGCCGAAGAAGAACCCCCTGCACCCCAACCCCAGCTGCTCACTGAGCCACCTTCCAGAGTGGCCGCAACGCGGACTCCCCGCGGCGCCACGTGAGCCACCCCGTAGGCCTTGGCGTAGGCCCCGCCCCGCCGCGCACGCACGCGCCCTGCAGACCGGCAGCTAGCCGGGCCGGTCCCTGAGCAGAGGCTTGCCCCGCGCGGCCTGCGCCCACTGGGGGGCGCTCCCCTTCCACCCCGCGCATCCACACGCGGGAGCCTCTGTGCCCTCCGCGATTCGAAACTTGCGACCCTGGCGCGCGCCGCCTCCTACCTGAGGGCCGGCGAGGGAAGCGCGCGAGAAGGGCCGAAGGAGCTGAAGGGGATCCTGGCGTGAACCGGGAGACTAGAGAGCGAGCGGCCGCGGCGGACAGTCCGGGCTCGGGCGCGCGCGTATGCGCGCGCATTTCCCACCCTCGCTCCCTCGGTCGACTCCCGGCCAGAGCCCAACCCTGCTGCGCGCGCCACCCGCTTCGCTGCGCCTAATAACAACGGCGCCCGGGGTCAGGTGGCCGCGCGCGGACAGGGCAACCATTGGCCCGGCGGGGAGCGCGGTGTGTCAGGATTGGCTGGGGGGCGGGTCTCCACTGGGGCAGGGCGGGGCTGTAGGGGGAGGAGGGGCGAGAGGGGGCGGGGGCGGGGCCAGGCCGTGGTCCGCGCCTTTGTGCCCGGCGCGCGCTCTCCGCCCGCTCCGGCTGCAGCGCCCGCTGCATCAATAATTCAGAGCGGCGGCGGCGGCGGCAGCGGCCGGTGCGGGCAGGAGGCAGCAGCAACAGCGGGAACCAAGCAGCAGCGGCTATGTATCCAAGTGCGGCTGGGCAGCAGCGGTGTCCCTGAGGCCCGGGCGGGGCTCCGGGAGCATCTCGCTGGGGGACGCTTGCCCCAGAGTGCGAAGAAAAACAGTAGTGTCCAGGGCGGTGTCGGTGGACCTGCGCACGGAGCTGAGGAGGCGACTTCGGAGCAGGGCTGGGGAGGGGGGGCGGCTGGCGCAGGCAGCCCCCGGGGTGGGGGGCGGGGTGGGCGCCGGCGGCGCGATGCTGGGCGTCGTGGAGCTGCTGCTGCTGGGGGCTGCGTGGCTGGCAGGCCCGGCCCGGGGGCAGAATGAGACCGAGCCTATCGTGCTGGAGGGCAAGTGCCTAGTGGTGTGCGACTCCAACCCCACGTCCGACCCCACAGGCACAGCTCTGGGCATCTCTGTGCGCTCCGGCAGCGCCAAGGTGGCTTTCTCTGCCATCAGGAGCACCAACCACGAGCCGTCCGAGATGAGTAATCGCACTATGATCATCTACTTCGACCAGGTGAGTGTTCCTTCCTCCCATGGCGTGCAGATTGGATTGGGGGGTAGGGGAGCGAGCGGACAGACTGATGCGGGATCTTCTCCTAGGGCTCTAAGGAAGCGCGGGGACGACCGCCGGAGACTGACTCCTGTCTACTCCCCTTGGTTCCCGTCTCGTTATAGGTACTAGTGAACATCGGGAACAACTTTGATTCAGAACGCAGCACTTTCATCGCCCCGCGAAAAGGAATCTACAGTTTTAACTTCCACGTGGTAAAAGTCTACAACAGACAGACCATCCAGGTCAGCTGCGGCTTAGGGGCGAGGCCCAGACCCCCTTGGGGACTGCTGGCCTCAGGGATCTATCTATAAAGGGCTCTATGGAGGTGGTAGAATTGCAGCTGCATGTGCTCCGAGCTCCTCCAAGGGACAGATAGCTGGGCTTCACAGTACTGTGCCTTGGACTGTCCCTTGCTTTCCCTGTAGTTGGCTTTTGGGGACCCAGTCCCATTCCCAGAGACAGTTTTCTGCCTTCGCCTTTCGGGTCCTTCCAAAGAAGTCCCCAGCTTTCCTACGGGACTCCGGGGACTTTCTGAAATGGTTATTAGCGTCCCAGACAGCTCCCGCTTCTATAAGCTTTCTTCGACTCCAGCTTCCAGCTCCACCGACAATACCTTCAACTTCTGGCCACAGCCCAGAAGCCTGGGAAGCTTGTATGCCTGCCTTCAGCACTGCTGACGGGATCCCTTTCCCCTAACCTGATGCCCCAAGGGCGCTCCTTTGGGGAACAACTCTGGTTTATAGAACATACAGGTCTAAGCCCAGGTGGGTGTAGTATGAAGAGAGATGGAGGGATCTCCCTCCTTTCTCTTGGCTTCAGCCATGTCCCAGACAGCACTCGCTGGATCTCAGGTTCCCAAAGAAGTCCAGATTTCCTTAGAGTGCAGACAGAGGCGCAAAGCGCAGCCGAGGAAGTAGCACCTGGCCCTTGGCTGAGGATGCCACCGCAAGGGCACAACCAAGCGGTGGCGGTGGCGGGAGCGGCCGGATCTGGGCCAGGAATTGAGCGGGTGGTTTGGTGATGAAGCACTGGGTGCAGCTGCGCGGGCGGGATTTCTAATCAGCCAGAAGCCCTGCCCTGCGTCTCCACAAGTCTTCACCAAGTCCGGGCAACTGGGACTGCGAGGGGCCAGGACTTTTTTGTTTGTTTTTGTTATCCTGGGAGAGGAGTAGCCTGAGCTTCTCTTTTAAGGCGTTGAGAAGCCGGAGAAGGACGAAGGTCTCTGGGCGCTAAAGTCACTCGCGGGTTTATTAAACTGGATAATGCACGGTTGGGATTCGCTTGGTGCGCTCATTTGAGAGACTGGAATGAGAGTGATTCCCGTTCGGGGGGGCATACCCTTCTTCTCACCCAGTTATGAGGTCTTTCGTTCCCTGGGGACCCTCCGCAGTAAACTGCTAAGCCCCTCTTCTTCCTGTTGCCCCCTGCCCTCTCGGTGTGTCCAGGCCTTTGCGGCTGTTAGTTATGCGGCGGAGGTTGGCGTTTCCACCGCCGCCTGGGTACCCGCCTAAGTTGCGCCTCTGAATCGGGCGTTTCTCTTCCTCAGGTGAGCCTCATGTTAAACGGGTGGCCGGTGATTTCAGCCTTCGCTGGTGACCAGGACGTGACCCGGGAGGCCGCCAGCAACGGAGTCCTAATCCAAATGGAGAAAGGCGACCGAGCATACCTCAAGTTGGAGCGGGGGAACTTGATGGGGGGCTGGAAGTACTCAACCTTCTCTGGATTCCTCGTGTTTCCCCTCTGACTGGCTCGTAGCCTGAATGGAGGTGGGGGGAGGGAGGAGTGAGAAAGAGGCTGAAATTAAGAGGGCAAGGAAGCGGCAGCACTTGAAGCTATCCTACGTGTTTCCTAGCTGCCTCGGGGTAACAAGGTGCGCGCCCGGCGGCCCGACAACTTTGTCCTTTTCCTTATTAGGAGAAGTAAATTCCGCTTAGCTATGCGCACTCCCATTTCCAAAAATAAACTCGCCTCCCCCTATTCCAGTTGCAGTAATCAAGAAAGAGACTGCCTTGTCATTGTTTGGCACCACTATGTCCATGTTTCCAAAAATTTATTTAAAAGAAACTTTGCATTTAACTATATAATGTGAAATCTTTATTCCTATGCCCTTATCCTTCCACGTAGTGAAAATCTAATATGTTCTCTCTCTCTCTCTCTCTCTCTCTCTCTCTCTCTCTCTCTCTCTTTCTCTCTCTCTCTCTTCCCCTCTCCTTTCCTCTCCTCTTCGAGGGTAAGGTTTTTTTTAATTTTTCTTTTTGAACGGAGGAGGTAGTTTTTAATATCACAAGTATTGCTCTTAAAACACCGCTCAAGAGTTAATTAGCTGAAGATACTTTGTGTCCTCGGCTGCTTGTTAGCCAAGAAAGGACTCACCTTAGTGGTGACTGGTTTAAAATATACATAAATATATATCATTTGTACACGAACTCTTCCCAGTGGAAACTGGCTGTGTTTCCGTATTTCTATGTCCTATTCGGAGTGATCGTGAAATCTAAGGCTGCTTGATGTTCTGATGCTTGTCAATGCCCTCGTGTTCTGTGGCTCCACTAAAGGCCAAGGAGGTTCTCCCGGACGGTTCCTCTTCCTCTGTAACATACGTGTGAATAGCCAAAATTTAATTTTGCTTTAATCTAATAAAGTCGAAGTGGGACTTTTTATTTTTCTGAAGCAGCTTTTTGAACTCTGCATTCCCCAGCTGCTAGGAATCTGGGGCACTGAAGGTCGAGGTCCACAGAAGCAGGAGACTTGGAAAACGCAAACACAGAAAGGCTGGGGTGCAAAGCCTTCCTGGCAAAGCCGGCCCTGCGCTCCTGCATCAGGCTTTGGGCCACCCCTGCCTTAGCCTGTGCTTTCTGCTTTGGCGCAAGAGTAAGAAATCTGGCAGATATTCTGCTAGGCCTGGAAGCGAAGTTTGGGCTTTTCGAATTTCGAATGCACCGGGAATCCTTCCAATTCGAGTATCTGAATCACCCCGCTTTGGGTGGCAGCTTTCCCACACCTTCAATCCCTGGATGTCACCGACCCTCAATCAGCTCGGCAGTTCCCGAAGCAGCAGCTTACGTTTTATACCACCGCCTCTGAATCCGGAGTCCACCCGCCAAGCCATCCCGGCGCTCAGGACCCGTGATTTCGCTCATTCACTGGACTTTTATTCCAGAGGTTCGTCCAGAGTTTTGATTGTATCAGAACATAATGTGAAAGCAAAATTGAAATAAACGACTTCATTTTGAGTCTGGAAGGCTGAGCCAATGTTTTTTGGCAGCGGGGCTGTTAGGCACCCGGGAAGCGCGTGGGCAGCGGAGGGCAAAGGGCCAGGATCTGCGACCGGGAAGGGTGCCTCTGGTTCTGGACCATCTTAGAGGTATTTTCCGGGCCCGAAATTCAGGGCTGAATTTAATTACTCCTGGAGAAGGATGAGGAAAAGAGGAAATACATCATAATACAGTAGGCACCATTTCTAGGTAACTGTTATCTGAGTTAGGGCCCAAAACTCTGGCCCTCTGTTGAAACCCAGGCCCTATTTCTCCTCCAGCCTGGCATCTCTAGCCGGGGCCCATCGCACATAGAGGGGACAAAAAGGAATTAAAAAACCAAAACAACTTCTTTTCATAAAGAGACAGCTTTGTCTCCAGTCTTCCTGTTAGGAAGAAGAGGTCAGGGACAATTGGAGCGTTTGATGGTGAAACTACCTTAACCCAAAAGTTCTTAGGTGCAGAGCCTACCTCCAGGCGTGTGGAGACTGCACACTGCGTGGCCTGTAGCAGAGGCTCCCAGAAAGTGCAGGTTGGGTAGCCATACCCAAACAAGCTGTGTCTGGAATACCTTACATCCCAGAGGGCTGTGAGTGTGTGGTCATCCCTCATCTTGGGGACAGAACCACCAGGTTTTTGTCACTGTGGCTGCCACACTGAGAGATCACCAGGCTGTATCCCAATGGGGGGACTTTGGCAAGTCCTCTTTCAGGACTTCAATTTGCCCATTGTTATGAAGATAGGGAGAAATCTGCTCCGTGTATCCAGCCATTCTCTGATTGGGCTGGAACGGGTAGATTCTTTTGCATTGGCTAGTGAGTCCTGCCTAGAGCTCGGGCCAGGGCACAAGCCTGGGTGGAACCTGGAAGGTCAAGATAGTCAGTGCATAAGGCCCCAGGGGGAGACAGAAGAGAGTGCCCTGCTTCTGTTCTGGCTCTAGCTGGCTCCATTCCTGAGGAAGAGTTGCTGCTTCCCCAGACATTTCAAATTGGCATTGAAGATCTTTCTTTGACCTGGCTCTAGCCTCTGCTTCCTCCACTTGTTGACCCCTGCCTCTGCTATTTGACAGATTGTCCCCATTACTTTCTCTGTGCCTCCACACCAGCTGTCCTGCTCTTGAAGTTTGAAGTACCCTTTCTCTCCTTCACTTTTCAAAATCCTATCCTACTGTGGACATAGAAAGTTCAACCCAAAGACTGCTTCCTCTGGAGCGCCATCAGGTTCACACAGCACAGATGCTGCTCTCCAAATGAGGTTCACCTCCCCTCCTTGCCCTCTGTTGCAGTGGGGTAAAGGAGACATCTGAGGCTGGACTTGTCTCTCTGCTTTGGGTTCCATGAGGCAGTAGTGGGCCACACTAGCAAGCACCAGCGCTAAGGTGGTGTGCCTGCCTCAGAGGGCTTTGGGGGGTCCATGTTCCCCAAACTGTCCTATTCGTAAGCCTGAGTCTCCCCTTAGCCTGAGTGGGGCTATGGCTAGCTCTCTTCATGGGCTTGGCATGTGGTAGCTAAGCCACCTCTCCCTCCTCTGGGGCAAATATGGCAACCACTTAGGTCAGAGAGGGTGAGTTAACTTTGGCCTGAAAATTGGACTCCACGTGGGAGGCCTCAGAGAGTCCGAAAAGTAGGAGATCCATGGAGAGAGATGAAGAAGAAAGAGCCTGCAGCTCAGTGGGGATTTCCTCCCTGTTCCCAGCCATAGGCTAGGGAGGTGGGGGAAGGAAGACTCTAAAACCTACCCCTCCCTTGGCTTCCTTTAATGTTTTTAACCTCTAGGCCCTTGCAGATCTGGGGCTTGCCTCCTTCTTTTGTCTAAGACGCTTTAGATCTCAGCCTCTAGGGGTCCCAGGACCATCCAGACACAGTCTTACCCTCTGTCTGAAAGGCTCTTCCCCTGTCCCAGTGGCCTTGGCTACTTCTTCCTTTCAAGCCTCAACAGTATTCGTCCCCTCCTCCAGGGAGCCTTGTGCGCCCCAGGTAGGCAAAACTGTTACCCTTTTTCCGGCCTCCTTGGGTATTTACCAATCTCCTCCCCCAAGCCCCACCACCACTGCTACCCCGCCGCCTCTGTAAGGACAGAGACTGCGCTTTTTCTGCGCAGCGTCCAGCACCCAGCTAGGCCTAGGGGACTGTGAGGGACTTCAGGGAGGTTTCTGGGACTACACCATGCCAAGCGCTCCAGTGAGCCGGCAGGCAAGGGGCGGGTTACGGCTCGCTCTGATTTCGACGAAGCTGCGCAAGGATGCGCAGGTCCGCGCCTGCCGCCCAGCTCGCGGACTCTGACACCACCAGCAGAGCTGGGAGCGTTAATTCTCGCAGCCCGGAGAATCGGCTCCTAATGAGAACATAATTACCCAGATGGAGCGGAATCTCGTCCAGCTCCTTAATTGTTGCCTTAATGGGGTGCTGGGGAGGGGGTGCGGGGCGAAGGGAAGAGGTGGACTCTTCCGCGGGCCTTAGGTGGGTCCTGGGGACCGGGGACAAAGTGGAAGGCTGAAGACTTGGAGCTGTGGCCCTCTGTCCTGCGCACCGCTGCCACCTTACACTCCCCATGACTCAGTCTGAGCCTTATTTTCCTCCGTTAACAAATGCGAGGGGTGGACTAGGTGTCTTCCAGGTGTTCTACCTTTCCTGATCCACGCATCCGGGAGTCTAACCCTTCCCCCTCTGGATGCCTGCAACCATCTCCCAGCCGGCGCTTTGTCAAGTGCTGGGACTCCCATAGGCATTCAAACAAAAGCAGCGAAACCCATTACTGACTGGGGAAGGACAGATCCTGGAGCTGAAGGTCAAGTCCAGAGGGAGAGCCGTGGTACACCTCACTTTGAACTAATTCCATGGGGGAAAAAAGGATTCCCAGAAGGTCTCTTGATCTCTTTATACAGGGCCCTCACTGAAGATACAAACACTCCGAGCCTCAGTTTCAGTGACATTAATCTCTTCGCAACAGGGTGGTTGGGAAGACTTTGCTAAAAGGTATGTAAAAAATGCCAAGCCCTGGCTGACACATAGTAGGTATTGAATAACTGAATAAGCAAGGAGCAATAGACAATTGGAATGTCACACAGTTACAGAAACAGGATACACCGGGACATCTGGGCAGATACCCATGTTGAACAGATGAGAAAACTGAAATCTCAGAGCGGGAGGGACATAGCCAGTGCGCATGAGTGGTAGATACAGAAAAAGAATGCTGTGTGCTTCCCTTTACCAACACACTTATCCTATCCCCCTCCTAGCTTTGGACTCCATCTCGTTGCTTATACACTTGCATTACCACTGTGGACAAATATTCTCTGTCTGGATGTCTGCATGCTTCCCATTGGAGCTGAGTCCTGCTCGAATGTCTGCATCTCCTTACAGGGTACTCCCTCCAAGGTAGCAGCTTTGTCTTCTTCTTACATGGCTCAGTGCCTCCATAGTGCCTGGCATAGAACAAGTGTCTTGTGATGGTTTCATGAGGTAAACCAAATTTTTCCTGACACAACTGCAGGATATGGGCACAGTCAATGAAAACATCCTTCAGGGGATTTCTGGGACCTCTCACCCCCTTCTCTCCCCATCACTGATAGGAACACTGATATGGGCAGACAGGGAAAGCTTCCTTGGCACCTGCCCTTATTCTGGTCTTTTCTTCCCATCTCACTCTGAGCCCAGCCTGTCTCCAGGAAATCCCAGCTGTGATTCTAGGAAGTCAATGAGCAGGGTCAGTAAGAAGAGGCCAAGATTCAATGTATGAGTGGTGCTCAGGTTTGTTGCTGGATCTTCTTTCTGACTAACTGCTTGCTGTGCATAGATGTGGCTGTCTATGCAGTTGTGTGACACAACCTGGATCCTCACCTTGCTAGACTAGGATAGACTCTCTCCCGCTCTGAACAGGCTCTGGGGCCT